TCATCACTTTTAATTGCTTCATCTTAGTAAGAACAATGAACATGCAGTGGGAAGGAAAAGAAAAAGTAATAAATGAGAGGTTAGAAAACTATACGGAAGTTCACAACTTCTTGCTCAACATATCATTAAGAATGTTGGCAAGCAGTCATTTCCATCTGTCAAAAAAGTAAGTAAAGCAGTTCACTCAGTGAAGAAGGCAAGATTAGTAAGCCTAGTCTGCCAATCAATGCTTGCTGAGGTATTTGTAGAGAAATACAAGGAAAGAAAGGCGTGTAGTAGAAAATATTCATGTTTGTGCTCAAATTTAAAACTAGGTTTTGAAATATTCTGTTTTTTTTAAAAAATATGACATTTAATAAGCTAGAATTACATTTTCATGTTTTGGTTTTTAAAGAAAATCTATACTGGTCATAAAAATGGACTATGAGGTTGATTATTAAATGAGTTATTCCCTCTCTGAACAGTATTAATGTTTTCAGCCTTGTATGAGCACAGGTCTGGGCATCCCTACTTCGGGCAGGAAGTGGTGTGTGTGTCATGTGACATAGATGGTAAAATAGAAAAATATGGTGAACACTTAAATGAAAAAATGCTTTACAGTAAAAGGCTCTGTCAGGGCTTCCTCGATGTCCAGAGTCTATTCAAAACATTTACCTTTCATGGTCACTTTGCCTTAGAAGAAAAGTCAGAAGCCACACAGAGCTCGTGAATAAAGTGGTGAGGACACACTGTAATATTTGGGCAGCAGCATTCATTGTATTTTTATCCACCTCATTACCATGCTCATGAAAAGACTTCCCGAACTGCTTCAGAAAGTGGCAAGAACAATGTGATACGTGTTGGAAATGACGGGAAACATTTGGAGGGGGATTAATGATAATGTGTCTTTTACTGTAATAAATTAATTTTTTAATTGAAATACTCACTGAATAACTCTATCACACCTCATATATATGTCATAAAACTCTAAACTTCATCTAAGTGGACTTAAAGCCAATGGGTTTTATGAAAAGGTACCATGTGTTGGAGTCTGTAAGGAGAAAGAAAACATTTGAAGCATTAAGTGAAGATATGAGGCAAAGCCTCCTACTGCAGAGTTTGGCAATTTGAGAACATTACTGTGAATTTTTGGACACTCCGGCCACGCAGCAAGGGGAACTGTGTTCCCTCCACTTAAAGCCGAGTGACCTGTGATGGCTTTAGACAACAGAAAATGTCAGATTTGAGGCTGTGTGACTTCAGAGGCCTAGACCATGCTTCCTCCCAGATCTCTGGAACACTGTTTCTCAGAGCAGCAACGAACGCAGACCAGCACCACTGTGTTGGCAAGGCCTCACACACAGATTCTTCTGAGTCCCACCTGGGCCCTGCCTCCTTGCGTCCCCTTCCAAGGTGCTGGTTCCATATGCAAAGCTGCCTGGGACCTTTGGATCATCAGCGGAACACAGCACTACTGAGAGACCGCCGTGTGGGACAGAAACCTCTCCCAGCCAAGCCCTGCCTGAAGGACGAGATACAACAGTTTGTGTCTCAAGCTGCACAGTTAGGTGGTGGCTTAGCATATAAACAGTGAGCCATTTTAGAATGAATGATATAAGTACTTTAAAAAAAAAAAAAGAACACAACTGATACTCCTTAATAATGAGCAAGGGCAAACAATATAGCAGAACAGTTCAGCAATAAAGTGATATCGTTTTCTCATACTTTTATGTAGTTTCAGGATGCTTAAGGCCTTATCTAAGGGATACGTAGAATCTATAAGCAGAATGAACTGAAAGGGAAATAAAAGAAGTACAGTAGAATTTAATATAAAAGTAACCAAATGAAACATTTATATAGCCAAAACTCTAGAAATCAAAAGTCAAGTAGCAGATTGTAAATTATCTGTATTGTGTTTCTTCTGCTTTTATGAAAAAGTAACCAGTGAACAAGCTGATATCATTTTATTGAAAAGTATCAAGTCATGTCAGGCCTTATCACCATGACATGGACTTTTAGAACCCTTACTTTATAAGAAAGATACCAGAAAGTTATTTGCGATTGACTGAAAAAAAAAAAAAAAAACACCTAAAACCAGCCATATCTTGCACATCCGTAGTACTGCATATTAGCAAAAAAAAGTTTGTATCACAAAAACATCTGTAAGATTATGACAATCGAAAGGAAACTGACAGAGATGATCAAAATAATCCCCTGAAATATTTTGACATAGAACTTTTCAAAAATCTAATCCTTGGAATCAAACCCAGGGCTGTATAAATGTTAGGCAAGCACTATCCCCTGGGCTGTATTCCCAGTATGAACATAATTTTTTCCAATATTTTGAACTGTAGTCACCCCTTTTCTTGGACTATTCATTTATTTATTTTTCAGTTCAAATATGATGCTGAACCCACTGAAACTAATTTTTATTTGTTGAACTTGGCATCTTGATATGAAATGCAATACTTACGTCAATGCACATGCAAAATCTACTGACGTCAGGCCATCAAAGGATCCCAAGTTAACTACATGCAGGAATGACTACAGAGAAAAGCCAAAAGATAAAACTTGTGTGATATTTTTCTGCTAATTAAAAAATTGAAAAAGCAGGGCACATAAAACTCATTTCTGTTTTGGCTAAGTGTAATAGTGCAGATCAAAACAACTCCACTCTAAAACAAACTGCCTAACATGTAGAAGAGGTATTGTAAATAACTGTAGCATTGAGTTGATTAAAAATAACAGTTACATGCTCCAAAATCTGATTAAAAAGCTACTGAGAAGTCAATATTATAATTCTTCCTTCCAAAACAATCGTAAATTTTACTAATGAAAGTTTAACTAAGAAAGCTAATACCACATTTTGTATTTAGCTTGAGCCTATTTAGAATGGGTATGATGGATGTTGCTTAATAAGGATATGAAATGTCACAGAACCTATGAGAGCACATGCAGTCTTGATCGCTAAAAATTAAACATACAAATTTGGGGTTAGCTGACTCAATATATTGCTGTGGTTTGGACATGATTTAAATGTGTTCCCCAAAAAGCTTTGTGTGCTGAAAGCGTGGACTCCAGTCTAAGAATATGGAAACCTGATGAACCTTTGAGAGGTGGGGCCTAGTAGGAGGTCAATAGGTCATTGGAGTCACTGGGGGTTCTGCCCTAGGAAGGGGCTATGATAGTTCTTGCGGGACCTTGCTTATTTCCCATGAGAGTGGGTGTTATAAAGGAACAAGCCTGGCCTCTGAATCTCTCTGCCTGCTTGTGTCATCATGTGCTCTCTCTCACACACTCCACCATGATGCTGTCTACCATGTGGTGATACAATTGGGCAGGTCCTCACGATGATGCCAGTGCTGTATCCCTAAACCTCTACAACTCTGAGCTACATAAGCCACTCTTATTTATAAAGTACTTGGTTTCAAATATTTTGCTGCAGCAACAGGAAACAGACTAATACTGATGTTACCAACATCAAGGGTCAGTCCTCTGAAGTCATGATCTTCAAGACATGAGAACAGAAAAGAGATATGGGAAATTCCTTGGACTTACAAAACATCATGAAATGTCCTTGGTCCAAGAAGCATACCAAGACTGACTCAAAGGCAATAGCTTCCAAACAATGGTATAGGCAAGGTCTACCAAATAGTACCACATTTTCTTCAGCTTCCTTCCCAAACCACCGAGCTTATCACTCAAGAATCTCATAATAAATATTGAGGGAGGGGAAAGCTTGTGATAACTGATTTTCTGGGGACGCTAAGCATTTTTTGGAGCTCATTGATACACACACCTGACAATGAGGTCCTTCCAACTGCTTCAAACATCCCAGGATTCCCTCATTTTAGATGTGTGAAAGTTGTCAGGATTAAAATGGGTTCATTTGTGTTAACCATAATAAAAATGAGTAAATGGAAAAAGGCAAGTGATATGAAGAAAGAGATTACTGATGGGATAAAAACACATTTCATCATTCTCTATCCTTCTCTGAGTGTTCTCTAACACAGTGACTTTCTCCATATAGGAAGAAGACTGTCCCTCTTGAGTTCTCAGATGCTGTATTTATATTTTCTACCACGGAGAAAAGCTGGCTTAAAGTTGAGTTTCATTTGGAAAAATCCTATAGACTTTGGGGCTTGGTCCAAGTACCTATGCCCAGAGGGACACAGTTTTATGGAAGCACCTTGGATCAGGCACTTACCAAATACCAAACTTGACCAGGTAGCATCATATAAGAGTATTACCTTGTTTTAAAAACAATTAAAGGTAGAAAAAAACTAGCAAATATTCACACGACTGGAAGCTTGTGATTTTTCAGGGGTAAGGGGAGCACTGATAACATAATATACTCACATCTCTCAATGCCACACGATTGGTCCCAGAAGCATCCCTCTCCATTGTCTCCCACTGTTTGTGTTTCTTTCAATTCTTTTCTACCTTCTTTCAAGGTCCTTATGCGTATGCTCATGGTGAGTGTGGTGATTAATTGTGTAGAAGCTTTTTAAAAATGAAACCATTGAAAGGAGACCTTGGTGTGGGTCCAGTTGCAGGCTGTTGTTCTCAGGCTCCCATGATCTGAGCTTAGTCAACTGACCAAGATTACTCTGACTGCGCTCTTACTTTTTGCCTTCCCAAGACCAAACTCTTAATTTAGAAACAAACAAACAAATAAGCCACATTTTTCAGGATGTCTTTTTCAAGCAAAAATATCTTTGAGATTTCCCAAAGGAACCCTGAAAAAAATCACAAGATTTTGTTCTTTTATCTTGTAAAAAGAAGAATATCATGAGTTTTTCAAAAAAATGTTTATTGGTACATTTTAAATACACATAATCATGACATTCATCACAGGGAATTTGTACCTGTACATGATATATCTTGCTTCTTCTTTTCCCATTCCCCTCCCCTCCCTCAACGCCTCTTCCCTTCCTTAGTTACAAAAGCTTTGTTTCCATTTTTTCTTTCCATTCTCTTTTTTCTTGTCTTAAGATTGCTTTCTGTTCCATATTCCTTTATTAGTTCTAAATTACTTTAAGAAGTATATGGAAATATTTGGAAGTGAAGCAATGCTTCCTATTGGCAAAAAGTGATTGTTTCAGAGAGTATACATTTTCCAGATAGGAAAAGCAAGCTCTGGAGAAACACCAGTGCCCCCACTGTCCACGTTCTGATATCCTCAGGAGAAATACTGGTCACTGTATTCACTTGGGATGTTATTCTCCTTTCTGATTTTACTAGTTATTGTAATAAACCAAGCATGGCCAATTAGTTGTGCTTTACTAAGTAGCTCTCATTTCCCCTAATACCTAAAAGTTCTGCTCTAAGTGGTAAGCCAGAAATTGGGTATGGAACAAAGCAGTCTCAGGGTTTCAGGAAGGATGATACCATTCAAGAACAAATCCCTAGTGCCTGCCTGGCAAGCACAAGGTCCTGAGTTTGATTCCCAGTACAAAAAAAAAAAAAAAAGAACAAATCCCTGGGAACTGGATTTTCATGGTAGTATAATTATTTGTATAAGTTCAGTAAGAACCCCTCTTGCTTTTAGTAGAGAAAACTGGACAAATCATTTGTGCGACTGAGGTTTTACCCACCATGTTATACTTGAGACCGATTCTCTGTGCTAAAACCAGCCTACCACCACAGAACAAAAGTTTGACTTCTGTGTGGAATCAATCCAACTAAAAGGGAGAAAAGACTACTTTCTGGCATTATCTGCATATGTTTTTCCACTTTATTATACACACTTCTTAAAATTATTCCAATCAAAAGATTAGCCCAAAGTATAAAAAATTAAAATATAGGAAGTATAGTTCAAATAATTAGTAGTAATTAGTAAAACCTACAATTAATTAGTGTCTAGATAGTTGTTCATATGCAAGTGGTGGTTATGAAATAAGCTCATAATTATACATTTTGTAATCACAATGTAATAAGAATGCACAGACAAAACATAAATTAATATTAACATTTAAAATTGAAAGACTTGGATAAGCCTATTGAAAGGAAAAAAATAGGCAGTAGAGATGAGAAAAAAGAGTAAAAATTATATAAAATTACCAAGCCTAAGTGGATGTATGTTGACATTGGTAGAAAAATATATGTCCAACTTGGTGTTCAAAAAACTTAAACATAATTTTAGTTCCCTTTGACACTGTAATAAGTTATCATACAACTTGGTTGCTTCAAACAACCCACAGTATATTCTCTCAGAGTTCTAGAGGCCTGAGCTGGAAGAGGGTAGTATCACCACATGACAGGGCAGGGCTCCTCCTGTCTCCAGATGAAAACCTATCTCTTGCTTCATTCGGCATATGTGGCAGCTGGCATTGCTCAGGTTGGGGCTACGTCATGCCAGTTCCCTCTTCTGAGGTTGCATTGTCCCTGGAATCCCTCCTGTATGAAAGGCTGAGCCAGAAGGATCACAAATTTTAGCCCAGCCTGGAAAATTTTGAGAAAATCTGGTTCAGAATAAAACAAAAAGGGCTGAGTGTTTATCTTTGCACTGGAGTGCTTACCTAGCATGCTTGAAGCCCTGGGTTGAGGCCCTCAAATGCCACACACACACACACACACACACACACACACACACAATTTGTAGTATTTTGGGGATTACCAAAATTTAAAGATATATATACACATTATAAAATCTTACTCTACTGGGTACTAATTTCCTTTGAATATTTTTATTACTGGTTTATTGAAATTTAACTATATCAGCAGATAACTGTACTGCTGATGGCTGGTGGCTCACTGAAAGGAACAGTTAATGTTTCAAATTTTTAATATTTTGATTAATTTTACATGCTATGTCTGGTAATGTGAACAACTGAGTTGAAGGCAACAATATGCAATAGTATAACCATTGGTGAATTCTTGCCATCTTGTCTAGTAAAACTCTGTATCATGTCTAATTTTTTTTAAATAATATTTTTCTATTCTCTTTAATGGTTTGATCAACCTTCCATTCTTACATCTGGTAATCTGACCAATGTAGTTGAAGATAACAATAAGAAATATAACAACCACTATTAATTCCTATCATTTTGTTTTGAAACCCTGTATCATTTTTAATGTTCTTGCTTTGTTTTGTTTATGTCTGAGATGTTGGCATTTTGCTATTGTTCTTTTATTTACTACTCTCTTTAAAATAAAAAAAGAAATTTAACATAACAAATGATGAAAAAATTTAGAGAAGACATAATGAAATTCAACATAAAATATATATACTGATTAATGTACACAATTGCTTTTTGGGGGGTGTGGCTGGGTGGGTAGGGAGTATTTATCTACAGGAAAAGGAAAGAGAGGCGACTTTTTATGGGGGAAGAAATTTAAAAGGACTCACATAACATATGAGGAAATCATAGAGAATATCTATTAAAAGAGTAGTGTTTTAGATTAATGATAAGTAAATAAATAAAACACTTCCTTAGAGGGCTTATACGTATATAGTTATGTAATTATGTATGTTCGGGCATATCATGTATTATGTGGTAACAGAAACAGAATGTACCAAATTAGTGGGTTTATGAGAACATGTCTTGACCAATTAGGTGTATGAAGACTTTGGCAGGATAAGAAGGAAGCACCTGAATGTTTACAAGCGGCAACCACAAAAATGAGACAGGGTTCATTGCACTGAAACAAAGGATTCTTTGCTAACACTTAACTATTTAGATACCACTTCCAGTTGCCCCAAGATTTAGTCAGGATTAGAGTAAGCTTCAAATAATGGAATCCACTAGCTGTTAACTTAAATGTAATAAAAGTAATAGTTTTCTTGTAGAAAATTTCCTTGTAGTGCTTTGGCCAGATAGTCCAGAGTCAAACATTCCACTGAAACACAGCCCTGGAATCTTTCGATTTTCAGTTTGGGTGTAGCCTTTACTTTATAGTGCATGGTGGTGACAACTAATTCCAAAGCACCAAAAGGAGGAGGGAACAAAGGGAAGAGGGTGACCCAAAGGGTGCTCCAGGGGTGTCTCTTGAGCAAGGACCTGGAAAGTGCCACACTGCAATTCCTCGTAGTCTTCTTGAACACAGGCTAAACTTAGCTACCCGAGATGCTCAGAAATGTTCTTTCCTTGACTGTCAGGGACTCCGCCAAACACATCATTGTTGAGAAAGAGAAAAGGCGTCCTGAGGGGCACGTGGGTTCCTATGGACACTGCCTGAATAGCGGTCTTTGGAACCACCAAGCAGGTGCTATGGCTGCTGACCGGGGCTTATCCCTACCACACATTACAACAATGTAATGAAAAGGCAAGTGTACATGACAGGACTGCTAAGTAATGATAGAGCAATAAGTAATTTCAAAAGATCCAGTGGGGTAAAGAGTTATGGTGACAAATGGGAGGCTTTTGAATAGTGCAGCACGTGTGATGAACTGAAGAAGGCTCACACGGCAAGGAAGAAGGATGCCCTGAGTTAGGCTGCCTAAGGAAACCCTGGGCTTGTCACTTGACTACTAAATAGTACAGTGTTAGCTGAGCATGGTGGCATATGCCGTATTCCCAGAATTTTGGGAGGATGAGACAGGAGAATCACAAGTTTGAGTGTAGTCTGGGGAATTTATCAAGACTCTGTCTCAAAGTTAAAATTTTTTTCTTTTTTTAAAAAGAATAAAAAATCATTTAAAAAAACACTAGAAATGATACAGAATTTCACTAAGATGATAAGAATTAAACAATGATTGTTATATTGTATATTGTTGTCTTCAAATTAGTTGTTTAGATTACCAGTATAAACATGAAACATTGGTCAGAAAATTAAAAAGAAGAAAAAAATTTAAGCATTAACTGTTCCTTTCAACAGACCAGTAGAAATCAGCAGTACAATTGTCTCAGCTATCCTGTGTATATACTGTATATTTTTCTTTCTTTCTTTCTTTCTTTCTTTCTTTCTTTCTTTCTTTCTTTCTTTCTTTCTTTCTTTCCTCCTTTCCCTCATCTCAGTTGTTCCTTCCCTTTGAGCAGTTTCTTTCCCTTTCACAGTATCTATTGTAACTTTTGGATTTTATTTGCTATTTTAGGTTCTTACACTAGGGAGACAATATGATGTTTATACATGCAGGTCTAATTTATTTCACTTATGAGTATGGTTTCTAGTTGCATCCATTTACCTATAAAAGCCTCAGGTTTATCTTTTTTATGGCTGAGTAATATGTCATTGTATAAAAATATCACATTTTTTTATCCATTCCTCAGTTGATGGGCACTTGGATTATTTCCAAGATTTAGCTATGACAAATTGTGCTACTACAAACATGGGTGCATACATATTGCTGTGGTATGATGTTTTCAGTTCTTCTGGAAAAATACACAGAAGGGGAATAGCTGGGTTGAATGGAACCTCTAATCCTAGTTTTTTGAAGAATCTCCACACTGATTTCCACAGTGGTTGTACCAATCTACACTCCCACCAACAGTGGAGAAGGGTTCCTTTTTCCCCTCAACCTCTCCAGCATGTTATTGGTTGCCTTCTTGATATAGTCATTCTTTCTGGGGTGAGATGGAATCTCAGGGTTGTTTTAATTTGCACTTCTTGAATGACAAATGATATTGAACATTTTTTCATTTATTTATTTGCCATTTGTATTTCTTCATCTGAGAAGTGTATATTCACCTCAGGTGCTCATTTTTGGATTGGGTCTTTGAATTTTGGGGATCTGATAGTTTTTAATTCTTTATATGTTCTAGATGGAAGTTCTTTGTCTGGGGGACAGTCTGCTAAA